CTTGGCAACATTGTGCCCCCCCTTAAAAAAGAATTTTTCAAAGCAGGGGGTTTCTCAGAAAATAATACAACCGTGAGAAATTATTTTTAAGTTCTATATTTGTTGGGTTACATGTGAATCTTAAAACTTCCAAATAACAACGGTTTTACTTTATACTTCGTCGTATTTAGTTAAAATTCGTTACCCCAAATATTGATGTCGGTCTGCACTGCAAGGGGGGTGGGTGAAAAATTTGTTAAACAAGCCGCCACCCGCTCCCCCTCCCCCCGTTTTAAAACATTTTTTTAAATGAATATTTGCAAATTATCTTTTTTCCATCTCATGATCTGAGGTCGTTTCCCCTTTGTCCATTTGACAGTCCAATTTTTTTTTAAATAATCTTTTTTGTTTGTTTATTTTAACAAATTAAAATTTTTTTTTTAGAGTTTGATGGTTATTATATCGTTAGAACTGACGAGGGTCAACCCAGCCCGAAATATATTTTAAATAAATGTGGAACTAACATCTACTTTTTTTTACTTTACAGAGGTTTGGTCCATCAATATCACCGTATTTTAATTGTTAATGATTGTAATGTATAATTAATGATATAATTGTGGGATTGTGTTTACACATTAAACTAATTGCCATTTTAACTTTCCTTGGAAAAGAATCAAAAATGCTGTAATGCGAGTAAAAGGTTTAGGAATAAACTACAGAACTCAAAGCGTTTTTTATAATTAATAATTCTAAGAATATACGGGAATGTATACTCTTATATTTGTGTACTCAGATAATCCCTAAGTTGCATGTAAACATAAATCAAATTTCCTTTTCAAAGGGATAGATTTTAATCGGAGGAAATGTTTTCACCTGCCCGACCCGATTACTAAATACCATTAATCCTAATTTATTTTGAATAGGGTTTGTTCATCTGGATTTCAGGAGAGATCGATGAATCCGCGAAATGTTTTTGTAATTTTTGATGCTTCAAGAAGAAAAAATGCAGATGGATCAACAATAAGAAGTTAAATGGTAGATGGGTGCAAAGCGCCCTGGAATCCTGAGGTCGAATTATAAGAATTTGAAACGGTTTCAAACATGGTGGGTTCAACTTTAAATCATAATCAGGGTTCCGACATTGGAGCCAACGCGCAATTTGAACCGGTGATCGGCGGTTCAGCGAAGCAGTTCAAATTAAGTAAATTCTACCTCTGATGTAGATTCCTGAGCTGGTGTATCATTTTATCGACGCTCCACTCAATGTTCTTCTCTCCTAACTCTGATATCATTAAGTTTACTGAAATTATGGAATCTATTTTTTTAAAAATTTCATCTGACAAATAACTAAGTAAAGGTGAAGAAATTCAAATTATTAATCTGCTTAATAACAATTCTCACATTGCTACATCTAACTTTTTAAACACCCTAGTAACACATTCCGCTAATTACACTCCCTACACGTATAACTTAAGCATCTGCAAAATTACTAGATCACATATTTATTAATTCAGATCCTAAGAATTATTTTTTTAATAAACACTTTAAAAGTGCATAGAAAAATATTTAGAGGGTATATACCATTGTAAATCATGTACATTACTATTTACCCATGTTTATTCCCCCCCCATGCAGTACATGCAATCCCCTATCCCTTCCCCTGTAATCGACTCTTATACAAGGAAACTTAGAAACAAAAAAAGCACGCTTATTTGGCAGCAAAAAGTTGGATGACCCCCAAATACGCAATTTTTGTCGCTTAAATCACTCACATGGAAGACATCAAACTTTTGCTGCCAAACATGGGATTGTTTTTTATAATATCCCGAGTCAAACGAATGTGGAATCATTTACACAAGTTTATCTGACCATTTACCCGTTTTTTTCATTGTCTAAATGTACACAACATGAACATAATATTGGTAGCAAACCAGTTCTAATTAGAAACACTTCAATCGAAAATAAAGCCAAGTTTAAGGAAAAATTGTTACTGAATTGTTACTGAACTCATGATAAATGAAGCTCGTGATAAACGAAACTACCTATACAAAAGGACTCCATATGTATGTATAAATGGTATTTTTTCTAAAGAAAAAACAGTTGTATGTGCCGGTGATCCTCCGGGAAGTGTTCCATGGGCCCCTACTATTTCTCATATACATAAACGATTTGCCCTTAGCAACGTCTTTTTTACTAATCTATTTGCCGACGACACTAGTTTTCTAAAATCATCTCCACGTATCAAAACTTTAGTAATTAATGCAAACTTTGAACTAAAAAAGGCAGTTGCATGGTTTCAGGCAAACCGTTTAACATTAAATGTCTCCAAAACAAAGTTTATGATATTTAGGAATAAAAATATGCATTTTGATCCTAAGAACTGCAAATTAAAAATTGGAAATGAAATTCTAGAAAAAATAGAAACTGACTGTACAAATGAATTTGTTGGACTCAAAATTGATGAATTCTTAAATTGGGACTATCAAATAGAAAATGTTTTAAATAAGATTGCTAGCTCAATTTTTGCTCTGAATCAGATTAAAAACATTTTACCATTAAACATTCGCCTACTCATAGTTCTTAATGCACTTGGAAGGCGGCCACATATTGAGTATGGAATTATAACATTACTTGTTGGGCAATCTACTTGTATAGATATAAAAATAACCTTTTGAAATGACGTAGCTGTTAAGGTTGATCTTCAAAACTGTTCGCAAAATATCATGCATTGCGAAACCCACTGTATAATGACTTTATAAAATATTACAGTTCACACTAATCCGTTCAGAAAGCCATGGGCGCAAACCTTAGCCTTTAATATATGTTGAGCTTTCTAAAACCAAGGCACAGAAAGTTTCCATATCGTTTAAAGTTTTGGCTTCTTGGATCGAGGTTGCGTGGTTTTCTTCTTCACTATCTCACATGCAAGGATGTGGCAATTGTTATATATGTAAAAAAAATGTAATACATGTGATTACAGTGGCTAAAATAAAGATGTTTTTTATCCATTTTCTCTGAGAACACTTTTAAAAACACTGTTAAATACAAACTCATTTAATAATAATCTTTAACAAAGTTTAGTTTAGTTTTTTTTATTGGTTTAGGGGCTCAGTTGGCTCAGTTTCTCTTGAAATACTCAATATAGTCTATATATAAATTTGGCTTGTCTGTTTGTTTGTTTGTCTGTCTGTTTGTATCCAATAAACGTCAAAACGGCTGAACCTATCGGGCCCAAATTTTTTGTGGGACATCTAGGGACCCCAGGGAAGGTTTATGAATGATTGAAATTTTAAATATTTGTCTCAATCAAAATTAGATAGTCATTAAATTTTTAAAAATTTTGAAAATCCACGAAATTTATTGTGAAAATCCGCGAATAATTTTTGTTTTGTTTTACGATGTACACAAAGAGAACATGTTCACAATTAATTTAAAGGTGGGCGCGAAGCGCCCTCTAAGGTTAGAAATTGAATTTCTAGTAAGTCCTAATTTGGCAAGCCAAATAATTTGTTCCTGAGAACAATAGTTTGAAACGATTAAAATGAAAATTTATCATTTTTCTCCGATACAAACTCTGGCTCCGGTGGATATTTTTTTGAAAACTGTTCAAACAAATGTTCCCTGAAACGACCCAATTATCATGTTCATAATTCTGCAGTAGGTTAAAGTTTTGTCTGAATTAAGTTATTGGTCAAAATGTTACAAAAACTCAATTCATTTGGCAATTTAGATATCCATGAGTCATTATATCCAAAAAAGAGGGGGGGGGGGATGGCACCTTTTTCCTCTCTTGCCAAAACTTGCCCTGTCGAAGATTTATCTTAAAAACATCAAAAATGATTTTTGACCAGAAAAATTAAGGATTTTTTTCATTTTATTTTACAACTAATGAGGAAATATTTATGGTGTTAAATCCATCTGAAAAATCACATGGGAAAACAATGCTTCCTAATTCTGTGCTCATTCAGTGTCATGCATTATGCATAATTTGACTAGAAGATTAATATTTTCTTAAAAAGATTGAGCAAGGCATTAAATTTGATTTGGTTTTTGCTTTTGATGCTTTCAAATTATACTTTTAATGCTTTACTACACGGTCAAAGTGTCCAAAGTGTTGAAATTGAAAGAAAAATAAATGATATATCCTATCAATAAATACAAAGAGAGAGATGTATGGGTAATGAAATGAAAGCATCCAGGATAAAAACTTTTTTCGTATCCCTTTAGCTGCTCTAGTACACAATTATAAATACCGAGTCCAAATTTAATGAATTTGAGCCGAGTCTCACCTCTTGAAACCTTGACTACCATTTAAAAGGGAATAAGCCGAAATTCTAATTCGAAATAAATCAGCTTTATTCTGTTGTATTATTGCTGCTTAAATTTGAGAGGCGGCTCAAATCTGCATGTTAGTTTCCCCTTAATTCAAGGTTTAAGCAGGCGCTAAATTGAAACTGGATTTGGGTTGATTTGAGACTCTGCTCAAATTCATTAAATTCGACCACTCTGGTACAACCTTAAAAACAAACATTTTTTATGCTTTTCGATTTTTAATATAAATCCCAATTGTTTTCAAAAACCAACCAAAACGAACAAACATAACAATAAAGAGACAACCCGGCTTTGTAAGCTAGCGAAACTGAGTATGCACTATGCAGTAATCTAATTCGATAGATAGGGGCGTTGAATTTCAATTCTAGAAACCAGCATAATGAGATAACAATTTTCAATGATAAGATTAATTTTTATTTTGACGTCTGTAGTTTATTGTAAACTGATTCTGAAAGCCTGTCCAAAAAGTACGGGGTTTTGAACAACGAATATGCGGATTTACAAACCTTTAAAAAAGTTTAATATGTCTCAAATGAAGAACACTGCATACTCGGTTCAACTACCTTACATAAAAGGGCGCACATTACTTACGTTTGAAAGCTAGCGCCAAGAGAAAAATTGAGTATATGAACCCTGTCCATTTGAGAAAAATAAGGGGGGGGGGCGGACTAACATGGTGAGCTCTGAAATCAAATTTACACACTTTATTTTCAAAAAGCAAAACAATTTTACCAATACAATGGGTTAGCCCACAAAAAGGGGGCATAAAAAAACAAAATTGGCGGCAAAAAAAAGGGCTCCAGCCAGCCTCCTCTTCACTCCAAGCAGGTCTCAGTTTCTGACGCCAGCTGGCTAAAAAATGAATACCAGTAGAATCTTTTTTACGGGCTAAGCTTTTTAAAGGGAGTGACCGGTAATGTACGGTTGCAGAACCGAGTATGGGGATTCATTTGAGACCTATATTAATCTTTTTTAAAGAAGCGGCAAATCCTGAATTTGAGCACAAACTCCATGTTCAAAAACTCCAACTTTGGGGGTATATACGTTTTCAGAATTAATTATTAAATATAACGACGACATAAGACGTAAAAAAGTTCTACAACAAACTACGGAGGACCGCTTGTGTAGGTTCCGTTCTCGTTAATATTAGTTATTCACAGAGATATTCCCAGATTTTCTAGAATTATTATTGAAAAGACGAGATTTGAAGAATTTGAAGAAATTCAAAGAAAATTAGAAAACAATAATAAAAACAATTTATTGACAAATTTCTTGAGAAAACGTGTTCCTAACCGATATTCTCAAAACGTATCAGTTCCCAAAGTAGGAGTTTTAATATGTTAAGGTCGGTCACTCCCTTTAAAAATTTAGGCGAGAGAAAAGCCTCTGAAAAGTGATTAAAGATAAAGGTTACCTGAAGTCGGTCACGGTCTGTAGTTCCTCATCCTCCGCCTCCTCGACAATTTTCTTAACCAGGGGGGTTCCCACATAGGGAGCACCCAAAGTTCTGTTTTTTTTTCTGTTGGGGGGTCCGCCCCCTCGACCCCCCTGGGAGCGGGTTTTTCTGGTCCCAATAAATAAGATTGGCGGTAGGTCCGTTCTAAACAAAAGCTATGTTTTTGATGGGAATTTATTTTACAGATTACATATCCATAACGCCCCCCCCCCCCCCCCCCCTATATACCCACATTATAAATTACCATCTTGTCAGGAACATAACCCGGTTATACAAATTATTAACGTACGTGGAGCAGTCTGGGCTTTGGCTCCTCCCTCGGCTGTCTCGGGTTCTAAACGAATTATATATGGATCATTAATCAGTTAAAATGGTTTTGGGTTCTAAACAAATTATATATGAATCATTAAGCAGTTAAAATGGTTTCTCTTCAGGACTTTGAAGTCCCTTCGACTCCTGGCAGGCTACGTCCCCCCCCTTGCCTCGTTCAGCCGTCCCGTCTCTGCAAAAAAGGTTAAATCAACAATTTGTTTCTAAACCTTTCAAAAAAAACATACTTGAAAATTCTTTGGGTCAAAAACTACTGTAACTCCCCAGGGACGGATACAGGAGTTAAGTGAGGCGGGGGGCAAGATTTTTTAGGACCAAAAAATGAATAATTAGGAACAAAAAAATCCTCGATTTTTTTTCAAATTTTCAAACTTTGTAATAATGAATTTAATTAAAATAAGAAAAATTCTTTAAGTTCCGGTTTACGGAATGGAAACCGGAAATTTTTCCGGTTTACAAAATGGAAACTGGAAAATTTTGGGGTCCCCCCCTTGGCAACAGTATGCCCTCCCCTTAAAAATTTGAAAAAATATTGATACCTTTTTTATTTATTTTTAACCCCCCTCCCACCTGGACTTGTTTTGTTCACAATAAAAATACACCAAAAAGACTACATTTTTGGGTGGTTAATAACCTTATAGAGTCTAAAAATTATTCCTTTGCTTGAAAAACTAACTTTTTAACTTTACAAATTTATCACTTAACTCCATCACAGCTAACTAAATCAATATCATAGCATCATTAAAAATTATTTTTTTACTAATAAACGAAATTTCTTTTGAATGTTTTAGATAGAATTTACTCAATCTACATATTCACCAACTCTTTTAAGCTACAATTTTCTGGGATTTGCTTGCACAAACATTTCAATGATTTTTTTCAGTAGAGAGCTCAGACAGCCTTATAGGGTGTAAAGCTATAAGTGCAGATCGTCTGCTCTCCGTCATAGTACATCTTGTGTAATGAAGTATTCTCTTTATTCTCTAAAACTTCTCTCTCCTTGTATTAACAGTGATTTCAGACAAATCCTTAGTCTTTGTCATTGTCAGGTGTTACTTTCTAAACGTAGTTTCCTTTTGATTTTGTATTTTCCAGGGGGGGGGGGCAGTGCCCCGTCTGGAACTCCCAGGGGGGGCAACAGGACTACTGCCCCCTAGGTACACCACTGTGCCTGGCTTGAGGAAGGGAAATGCAAGCAGATGTAATATTAAAAGAGCCTCCCTCATGGGTGCCCCCTCTTCGCCTCTCAGGGGGGGGCGCGGCCCCCCCCCCTCGTACGCCCCTGGATGGAAGTGCATGAGTGCAAGGCTAGATAGCCTTTCTGTTTTCATGGTGCTCCGTAGCCATGTTAGCAACCTAATTATCAATATACATAAGTTCCGTTTCTATTTTTTGTTTAAATTTTAAACAGTTTTTAAAGCTTATAACTGTTTAGGCATCTGCAAAATGCCGCAAAAACTTTTACTATCATGAAAATAGAAGTCTTTACACTTGAGTGCAGACTAAGCAATAGGGAATGTATTTTTTNAAATTCCTGTCCTAATCCTTTAATTTTGTTTCTTATTCCTGAACAATCTTTTTATTGTTCCTAAATCCTTTTCCTAATCCTTTAATTTTTTTCCTAATTCCTGAACAATCTTTTTATTGTTCCTAAATCCCTATCCTAATCCTTTAATTTTGTTCCTAATTATAAATTTTTTTTGTTCCTAAAAAATCTTGCCCCCCCCCCCTCACTTAAATCCTGTGTCCGCCCCTGGATAAGATCAGGTTAATCGACATTTAATTGGTCAATTTTTACTGGGCAGGTGATTAACAGGATATGGGGTACTCCTCCGGTTCAACTATTTCCGGTTCACCGTTGGACGCATTATTCTCAGTCTCTAGGCCGTCATTGAAATCCCTTTTATTCTCTAATCAATTCGTTTCATCTTCACCAATTTTGTCTATATCATCATCACCTGGTTTCATCTTCATGATCATTGTTTTCTGTTAGAATAGGATTTACACAGGTGCCAGAATATGAGCTAAATACGAACAAACAATTATATCCATCATTCCTGTCAAGTATATAATCAAGTTGGATATCCTAGATATCCAATCCCTCTTCTTGTACAATTGGGGCTTTGTCTCGTCTCCCTTCACATAACAAAATATAAGCCCCCGTTTGTTACAGATGAGGCTTGAAAGTGATTTCAATGTTCCAGGGGGTGGGCCGGGCCTCCCCCCTTGACTACATACATTCTTTAAAAGATACAAATAAAGTTTTTAAACAAATAAAAAAACTCTCTGAAACCAGGGGTCATGAAAATAATGAACAAATGTATCAAAAAAATGTCGGAGCAACTCAAGCAAATTGAACAAGTGATATATTTTTTACNAGAGAGAGAGAGAGAGAGAGAGAGAGAGAGAGAGAGAGAGAGAGAGAGAGAGAGAGAGAGAGAGAGAGAGAGAGAGAGAGAGAGAGAGAGAGAGAGAGAGAGAGAGAGAGAGAGAGAGAGAGAGAGAGAGAGAGAGAGAGAGAGAGAGAGAGAGAGAGAGAGAGAGAGAGAGAGAGAGAGAGAGAGAGAGAGAGAGAGAGAGAGAGAGAGAGAGAGAGAGAGAGAGAGAGAGAGAGAGAGAGAGAGAGAGAGAGAGAGAGAGAGAGAGAGAGAGAGAGAGAGAGAGAGAGAGAGAGAGAGAGAGAGAGAGAGAGAGAGAGAGAGAGAGAGAGAGAGAGAGAGAGAGAGAGAGAGAGAGAGAGAGAGAGAGAGAGAGAGAGAGAGAGAGAGAGAGAGAGAGAGAGAGAGAGAGAGAGAGAGAGAGAGAGAGAGAGAGAGAGAGAGAGAGAGAGAGAGAGAGAGAGAGAGAGAGAGAGAGAGAGAGAGAGAGAGAGAGAGAGAGAGAGAGAGAGAGAGAGAGAGAGAGAGAGAGAGAGAGAATTCCCATGTTTTTTTGGGACACCCTGTATTTATAAAATCCCCACTATAAATTGCAGATATGAATACCGTGTTAAAGTTACTGTAAAAGTACTAAACTGGCTGAAATTATCTTTTTTGAATTCGATTTTTTCCTTCTTCAAAATTTGTTTTTTTAATTCCACGGGCAACGCCGTACACTGTAGCTAGTAAAGACTGTAGGTACACACCCCACCCAGACATTATATATTATATATATGTATAGTCTACACTCATGGCAAATGCATGGTAAGAAATATCTCTACATAGTCGAGTTTTTTCAATATTTCCTTCTAGTCTTGTTTTTCATATCCTATTCCTAATCATAAAAATAGAGAAGTCTGACAGATTGTTTCAGACAATGACGTTCCAAAACCTGCCACGCCGTCTAGACTTTTATTCAACAATACAATTTTTTTAAATTCCAAATTTAATCGTTCTTTTTCTTACTTTTTATATGGTCATTGGTCATACGATTTTTAAAAGACTTACCTAATTTTATCTATACTAGGCTTTCAGGGCGCTTCGCGCCCATCTTCTATTTAAATTGTGAACATGTTCTTTTTGTTTACATTTTAAAACAAAGAAGAAAAAATTTTGCGGATTTTTAAAAAAAAATTCGCGGATTTTCAAGAATTTAAATTTTTTACAAAATTAAAAACCTTTACAACACATTTTTAATTAATTTTTATCATTCATAAACCTTCCCTGTGGTCACGTGATGTCCCACAAAAAATTTGGGCCCGATCGGTTCAGCCGTTTTGACGTTTATTGGATACACACAAACAAACAAACTAACAAACAAACTGACACCTAAGCCAAATTTATATATAGATTCTTATCAACGTTGCGAGCAAGGATTTAAAAAATCTATATGGTTGAGATTATCACTCATTCTGTAGATTATGTTGGAACAGTTTGAGACACCCTGTTGGATTACTGTAAACAGACACCCTGTAGCAATATGTACGCAAGTTGTGAGATAACTGTAAACATCCAATATCCTTTACGGGCTGCAACAAACGAATTTAGATATATTCAGGGGGGCCAAATTTAATTAATAAGAGCTAGATCTCTGAATTACCTACCGCCGGTCTTAATCTTGAATCACCGATTCAAATTTAAAGGTTCATGAGGATTTAAATTGGTGATTCAGGATTTGAGCCGACTGGATATATTGGAGCGACTCCTAATTCATCAAATTCTATCCCGGGAATATACAATTTAAACTATTATCAATTAACATAAGAACATCACCATAACAGCACCGGTCCTGGGATAGTTCTTCTATTTCATTCCAGTTGTAGTTTCTGTTTTCTATTTACTTTAGTTGATGAAAATATTAAAAAAGTTTAAATTTATCACGCAACCTCGACAGTTGATCTCTCAAGATACAAGATTACATTATATACTTAATTACTACATCACATATAGTAATCAAAACCTACATTACTTAGGGCTTGGGTAAAATAAGTTTCCTTCTCGAACAAAAATTAATTTTCCAAATGTTAAACAAGATACCTCGACTTTTAATTTTGTACATGGATTTCACATGTAACACTCACCCGGACCAAATATAACGCCCGGTCCTTATTTAACGGGACACCGGCTCCAGACTAGATCGTCTTCCGCCACAAAACAATATTAAATGAAGAGAAAAATTGAAATTTTTTCTTCAAAATTTGGATTTGATTTATTGGTTTGAATAAATTTCACTTTTTTTAACACTTTTACTCCGATTTGGTAAAAAATCATTAAAATAAACTGTAAAGTTTATCGTTTATTTGCTATATTTCTTGAGAAAAAAAAATAATTAATTACTAATATAAGAGGGTGGGGTACTAAGTGAAGGATCAAAGTATAGAACATGGTGTGAAAACATGGTTAAAGGGCGTGTGTATGTAGTATTGCAGGCGTGGGGGGAGAAGAGCGGTATGACTGTAAGGAAATTAAAGGGGTACGGGGGGGGGCCTTTTATTAAGATTTAAAGCATATTACTTGTCCCCAGGCCTCAGGGGTACGGTACGTTTCGTTTTCAAAAAAATAAATGTTTTTGGACATTCAAGAGGTTCCACAAAAATCTGAGAAGTGTTACTTCAAAACTTCAAAATTGTTTATTTTAAACATTTGTTTTTGTTACATCATGCAAATTTTTTACCCTAAATCTAACTGACCTGTGGCCGAATTTAAAGAATTTGAGCGGCGGTTTAAATTTAAGCCGCGGTTTAAATATGGTTGGTTCTACTTAAAATTGTATCAAATGTTTCAAGATTTAAGCCGGCGCTAAATTTAAACCGGGTTTTGGCGGATTTTGGCGGATTTAAACCGCGGCTCAAATTCTTTAAATTCCATCTCTGATGACCTGGATGACCTAGACCAACCCAAATCTTTTAGATACGAAATATACGAGTGGAGATCATACCCATTGATTTGGCATTAATTGATTTAGTTGTGTCCATGTTGACATTGATAGCTAACGATTTGTACCTGGATTGGTACAGTTCTGGACGAAATTTTTAGAGTATGGCATTTAACGCACTGAAAAACGATAGCTTTCCTTTTCTTTTTACCTTTTATTTTATATTTTTTATATTTAAAAATATAGCAAAGTATAATAAAAGCAAACTTGAACTAAATATAGTTTCGACATGTTGTAAGTTTTGTCCCATAACTATCCAGCAGGGGCATCATCATACATTATGTAAATATATTTTTTCTAAAAAATGCTATGGTACATTTTTAGAAATAGTTCATTTTTAAAATACAAAATCCTTCTGGGCAGCATTTCATATTTAATAGAGAAAGGAAGAGATTTCCTTAATGGTTTCCGGGTCGGACTGTATATAGAAGGTTTGTTCTATAAATATACAAAAAGTTTGATACTTTTATTCAAGAGCGTTAAATTAAAACTATAGTTTTTATTTTATTGTTTTGATTACAATCAATACTTTAAGATGGTTGAATAATTATATTTTTTTAATCGTTGAAATTGGTACGAACCATATCAAATATGTGGTCTTTTTCATTTAGCAAAATGTACAAAAAATCCTATCATTGTTTATTGAAACTTGACCAATTACAGGTTTATTCTCATTGAGAACTAAATCTAAAGTGTACATCCAAGAAAAACAAAAGAAAAAGCAAATATTGGCTTTGTTTTGTCGGTTATGTGTAGCTCTGTGAGCTTAGTGAAATATTTGCAAAAAGCTCATTTCAGTTTCTCCCATGGTCAGATTTAGAGATGGAGCCTTTAGAACATCTTAATTTTCTTACAGTCATGATAAACAGAGCTTTCTACTATTTTCTACAAAATCATTGCAGAATTGTGAAAATTATGGCATTTTTAGGCTACAAATAGGGAAATAATTTTTATCGTTGTCTCTTATTCAAAATCGGCCATTAATATTAATATGAAGATATACTGATCGAAGTGGTGAATTTGTTTAGCATGACTTCAAGATAACAAACAAACGTTTTGAAAGTGCTAGACTAAAGCTGACCATGAGAGAAGCTCAAATGTGTTTCTCTGTGCGCTTTAAAGCTATATACCCTACAACCCAAGCCAATTTTTGCTTTTGCATTTATTTTTCTTGGATGTACACTGGAGATTTAATTCTCAATGTGAATAAACCTGTAAGTGGTCTAGTCTCAATAAACAGTGCTCGGATTTCTAAAAACCTGATATTTGAGAGTAGAGTAGTGTGCGACGAGTGCGACAGATTGAATAGAGATGAAACTTGTGGTTTCAAATTACACACGACCCAGACCCCCCCCCCCCCCAAACCCTCCAACAACATAAATAAACAAAATACCTTTATAAAATTCTATGGGGGAGAGGGGGGGGGGCAGGAGAAAAGATTATCCCCCCCTCACCTATCGAAAATTTCATAAGCCGCTCACGGTAACAAAAGCAAATTATTGAGCATATAATTTTGAAATAGGATACGTAAATATTTTGATATCTGCGTTTATAATCTAATCTAATCTTATAATTTATTTTTCCGTTGAACATATGACAGGTTGAGCATAAAAATTACATATATGATTTCTATTGATTTTCAACTCTTTCCAGGTTGGTCACCTGGTAATAATTTACCTTGGTGTTTATTAGCAGGGGCTTACTAGTGGGGCCGAGCCCCCCGCCCCCCCCCTACGCGTGCCCCCTCTGAGTGGGGGTTCTTTTAATATTATATCTTCCTCAGGCAATCTACATTCTACATTGCATTGGATTGCACTCACCCAAACTAAAAGATTAAGAAAAGAATTAAAATATATTCTGATTCACAATATTGCCCTTTGAAGCTTCATCTGATCAAGTATTGCATTAAATATCCATGTATCCCATTTTGAAGACTGAATATTTTTATTTGTGGTTTCTCTACAAAAGTGACTCGCGCATTTCTTGCTTCAGAAACGCATGGAGAAATGAAGGTTTCAAAGGTACATATGACATGCCACTTTTTAAATGGAGGGTCATTTGAAATTACGCATGTATTACATTTAGGTATAATTACATCATATAGAAAAAATGCTTTAAAATCTAACTTTTGCCCTTAACTAAAAAAGATTCATTAAAAACTTTAATCAATACTGCTTCAGAGTAAGTAAATATTTGATATCATAATTTACTATACAATATAAATATTTTTTTAGGAACGTTTCCATCTATATTTTTCATCCCTTGAAGCTTACTGTTATATATGAAAGAAAAATGGTTCAATTCAACTACTCATTTTATCAAATGTTCAGCGAGTCGGTTTTACAATTTATTATTATTTACAAATATACAAAACTATAGGAGAATACTATACGAATCAAAGTGCATGAATCGAAAATGGTCCAGAGTGAGGGGAGATCTCCAGGGAAACCTATTAACTAAGGAGCTGGTCTTCACCTACTTGTATCTTTTAAATTTCACTCCACCCTAGCCTAGAGCTCAACCCTCGTTTCCCGGGAGCTGGCCGGCCAACCTACCAGCTCCGGGCCTCTGGAATAACGGTTTATCAGGCGTGGCTTCGGTTTTCAGCGTGGCTTGAGTTATTTATAGAATTCACACCCAAACTCAAAATAAATCCGTTAGGTCTGTACAAGAGATTAAGGGAACAGAGGGTAAGAAGGGGGGGTGAGGGTAGCAAAACCCCTCTTTCGATCGCAAGAAAGATCAAAACATCGCTTTCCTGCTACATTACACCACAGTATTAAGAGGGATTGTCTGATTTTTTCCCCCCCCCCCCCCCTAAGAAAATTACATAAATTTAAGTTTACATAGTTAAAAGGTATCAATATTTTTTTCAAAAAAGGGGTTTTTAAGGGGGGCACATCTTGTGCCCCCCCCCTACACAAATGCTCTCGTACGCCCCTGTTTATTAGAACTGATTTGATACGTGGTGGGACTGGAGTTGGAGAAGACGGAGGAACAGGGTCGGGTTTTCTCAATTAATATCTCTTTCATACTTTTATTGAACAAAAATGTTACAAATCTATGTATGAAGAATGTATAACAAAAAAAACTTACAAAATGCTTCTCGCAT